GATACAAATATTATACATAAAACAGATAAGCAACAAGGATTTACTGTATAGCACAGGGAATTATATTCAATATCTTGTAATCACCTATAATGGAATATAATCAGAAAAAATAACTGAATCACTATGCTGTACACCTGAAACTAACACAATACTGTTAATCAACTATACTACAATTTAATAAAAGGCTTAGTCAACTAGGAATAGAGGGGTACATTCTTAATATGATAAGACAACCATGATACATCTGTAGCAAAATCATATTCAATGGAAATGTTAAAGACATTCCATTTAAAAGGAATAAGTCAAGGATGACTACTACCACAATTATTATTGAGCATTGTAAGGGAAATCCTAGTCTGTGCAGTGAATTAAAAATAAAAGGTATACGGATTATAAAAAGACAAACAAAACTATCGTAACTCACATGACTAATTATCTACAAAGAAAATTCAGAAGCATCTATAAATTATAAGTAATAAGTTTTAAAAGACTGCCAAATAGAAGATAAATATATAAAATTTAAACTGCATAATTATATAGCAACAATAGAAAATGCAATTTTAGAAAACATACTATTGAAAATAACAAAAAATAACATACCTAGCAATAAAACTAACAAAATACATGAAAGACATCCTCATGTAGAAAATTATAAGCCTTGAATGAAAGACTTTAAAGGAGAACTAAATAAATGGAGACGTGCACTATGACCATGAATAGAAAGACTCAATATCACAGAAGATGTAAAACTTCCCTGAATTTATCTATAGACTTCATAGAAGTCCAAACACCAGAAAGAAATTTTAATTTGACAATCTGATTCTAACATTTATGAGAAAAGTCAAGTAAAAGCCAAGACTGAACTGAAGAAAAAGCAGGCTGGATAATTTTCTCTTCCAGATGTTAAAGCTTATCATAGAATGATACTAATTTACAAGTGCTATTGGTAGAGATACTCAAATAGAAAAATCGATAGAAAAGAGAATCCAGAAACAGACTCTTCATATATAGAGACCTATACAGGACAGAGCATACACTGCAGATTATTGGGAAAATATGCCAGAAAACTGGTTATCCACATAGAAAAAGAAATATGGGTGTCGTATGGACTGAATGTTTGTGCCCCTCCAAAATTCATAAGTTGAAGCCCTAACCCCCAGTGTGATGGTATTTGGGTCCTCTGGGAGGTAATTAGGTTTAAATGACATCAGGACGGTGAGGCCCCCATGATGAGATTATTGTCCTTACAAGAAGAAGAAGAAGAGAGACCAGAGCTCTGTCTCTCCACCATGTGAGGACACATCAAGAAGGCAGCTATCTGCAAGCCAGGAAGAAGGCTCTTACTAGGAACTGAATCTGCTAGCACCTTGATCTTGGACTTCTCAGCCTCCAGAACTGTGAGAAATAAATTCCTGGTGTTTTAACTACCTAGTCTATATACTTGGTTATGGCAGCCCAAGCTAATACAGGAGGCCTACGTTACATTGCACAATGTAATTGGATTCTGGGTGGACTAAAATTATAATTAGGAAAGGTGGAACTTTTTTTTGTTTTGTTTTGGTTTTTTGCGGTACGTGGACCTCTCACTGTTGTGGCCTCTCCCGTTGCGGAGCACAGGCTCCGGACGCGCAGGCTCAGCGGCCACGGCTCATGGGCCTAGCCGCTCCGCGGCACGTGGGATCTTCCCAGACTGGGGCACGAACCCATGTCCCCTGCATCGGCAGGTGGACTCTCAACCACTGCGCCACCAGGGAAGCCCCAGAACTTTTAACCTTCTAATAGAAAATACAGGAAAAATATCTTTATGACATAGGATAAGATAGGATTTCTTGAACAAGACAGAAAAGTGCTAAGTTACAATAGAAAATATTGATCCATTTTACTACATTAAACATAAGAATCTCTATTGATCAAAAATACCATCAAGTGAGCATAAAGGCAGCTATAAATGAAGAGACTATGTTTGCAATACACATAACCAACAAAGGATTACATCTAGACTATATAAAGAACATGTATCAGTCAACAGGAAAAAGAAAACTATAGGAAAACTACAGGAAAAAAAAAGAAAAAGTGCTGAACAAACATTTAGCAAGAAAGGAAATGTGAATGACCAATGAACATATCAAAAGATGGTTAACCTTGGTGGCCAAGAATATACAAATCACATTCCATTTTACGTGCATGCACATGCACACATATTAAACAATGCGGCAACTGCAAGAGTTGGTGAGACCGTGGAGCATGAGTAACTGTCATACCTCACAGTGGGAGGGTCATCTTGTACAGCCACGGTGGAAAAACGAACTCGGCATTGCCTAGAAAATTTGAACACGTGTACTTTTCCTCTATCAGGGTTACACCCTAGAGAAATTAATGCATCTGTGAACCTGGAGATGTGCATAAAAATGTTCTCTGCAGTATTATTCAGAATCATAAAAAACTAATCACAACCCAATATCATCAGTACAAGAGAGCTAATTTGTGTATATAACACAATGGAATTTTATACAGTAATGAAAATACATGAACCAGAGCTCCACTCATCTCTATTGCTAAATGTCAAAATCAACGTGGACTGAAAAAAAAAAAGTCAAAGAAGAGCTATGAAAAGCAGAAACAGACAAAACTGAACAATACATTGTCTTACAAATAAAATTCAGGATAGTGGTTTCCTCTTGGCAGGAATGGGCTGAGAGAATGTGACAGGGGAGGACAACCCAGGGGTCATCAGCAAGGTACTTGGTGGTAGTCTGCTCTTCAGCTGAGGGATGGGTCGTGACTACTCTTTTAATTTCCCTCATTAGTCTGTACGTGTGTAGCATATACACTGTGTGACATATATGCTATATTATAAAAGTGAAACCTTGGTAAATCTCAGACTTTCATTCTCAGTCTCTGTACAAAGTCACATGCAAAAAAGCACAAACAGCCCCAAATAGCAATTTTTAAATGGAATTTTTTTTTAATGGCAGATTACGAAACAACATGTAATTCCATTCCCAGGACCTCCTTTCTCCTGCTAGCCATCCAAAGGCTTAGATCAATGCTCAGAATATTTATTGTTTGCCTGAGGAAACAACTGAGCATTTCGAGGCTTTTAGCCTTATTGGTTTTCCTCCTTGGAAAATAATTTCACATTCTCCTCAACTCTGTGGAAATCCAGGATTCTCCGTCACTGGATGGAAAGCTCATAGTCACAGGAGAGTGCTACAATGGCAGTGATCTCAGGGCCAAAAGGTCTCTGCAGGCTGTCATTCTATATTCTCATCCCACGGGAAACAGCTCTAAGAGACCTGCCCACCAGGGATCAGCCCTATCCAGATTTTTTTCAGCCACTGTGCACTCAGTGTTCCTCTTTCCACAAAGTCTTCAGAAGGCAACTCACAGCAGGATCCCTGCTGAGATTTCTAATGACCACTCCAGCTATTATTTTACGGAATCCATTAGTCAAAAAATATAAAATGATGTCACACACTAGATGATCTGACCAACCTCTCTCTACCGACACTCATCACCGTTGGCCAGCAGTATCTCAGGGGACTTGGTAGGAACTCCAGTGAGACAGTTCATTCTTGAGCCATTCATCCTTAATATCAGCAGCCTGCCCATTCTGTTTCTTTAAAGCTTCTAAAGCTGCCTTCTGATTCTGGCGATTGGGATGTGGGATACAATCCTTGCCACCCACAGCATCCATTTTGGGTTTACAGATATCACAACCTTTTAAGTTTGAAGAGATCTGTTCCTTCCCCAATCTCCCATATCACCTTAGTTTCACCAGCTGATGTTCTCTGCACCTTTTCCAGCTCCTTCTTTTCTTTCCTCGTCATTATGATAAAGGCCAGCAAAACTCCACGTTCCACTTTGCTTATTTGAGTAGCAGGACAAAGCTGGCACTGGTATCTCATAGGATGTGAAGGGAAGGTGTCCCTTGGAATGTGAGTCCCCAGTTCACAAAAGTGGCTGAGATGAGAGAGTATCAGTGTGGGTATTTGGTCACTGGGAAGAGATTTTGTGTGTTTTCCTCCTGAGCAGAGTGAGAGCCTTTCACTGAATGGGCTCCAAACTCAAGCTAGATCATCACCCGAGTGGAGTAAGGGTGATGGTGCTTGCTGGCTTGGATGCCAGGACAGAGAAAGAGAACGATATCACCCGCAGAGGATGAGCTAACAAAGCTGCCTGAGCCAATCTGGACAGGGAAACGAAACAAGTGGCCTTAAAATATCAGAGTCCCCGAAGATAGTCCAATTTTCCTTTCTATTTCAGGAGCATCAATACACCTCTGCAGACAGTGAAAAGGATGCAAATGGAGTAAAAACATCACTGCTGCAATATCATGTTTAAATGTAAACATGGGTATATGGCAACACTTCTGCCCTCTCTCCTGAGCTCTAAATACGATTTGACCTTGTATAGATTAGCTTTGCCAATATCTGTAGATCTTTTCAGACGGACCTCCTTGTAACTTTGATTCTGTGTTTAAAAATATGGTGCCAACTCTTCCCAATCATTCTCACGTCTGGGATGAAAGCTGAAGATCTGATCGTGGGAAATGCTGCTGAGCTGACCTGAGAACATGGCAAGAGCTTAATGCTCTCAGCGAGTAAGGCAACGGTCTCTCAGCTGCAGATAACAGTTAGTAGGATGCCAGGATCCATTTAGCACAAACAACCTAAGAAAGCTCTAAAGAAAATGAGGTAAGGAGGACAGATAATATCTAATGCCTATTAGGGAACTGCTTAGAATTAGAAAGTAGAAAAGGGAGAATGTTATTAATATTGCTTCCATGAGTAATTCTCGGAAACTGCAAAATGAATATTGTGAAAGACTTGTTTCTGGAAAGGTACAAGGAGGTTTGAAGCGACAGCTCTAAGTACATTGAGATAAATTTTATACTCTGCCACCCCCAAAATAAAATAAAATAAGGTATAAGTAATCTGTTTGCATGCTGACCGAGAAGCGCCCTTCCCCCAACCAAAATGAAGAAATGTTAGACTTACATTGGTGACATATTCGATGTCCTTCCAAAGGATGCACTCCCTGGGGAAATCAGCCAAGTCTAAGAAGTGATCCACCACCACTTGGCCGATTAAGTCATGGCGAGAGAACCTGTCAAAGTCATAGACAGAGAAGTGAAGCTTCCGAGCTACAAGGTCATTGTAGGGAACCGGAAACAAAAACACTTCATCAAACACAGGGTTCAGGGTCTTTCTGTGAACTTTAGTCTGGTGTTTTGTTTTCCGATCGGGAAGCAAATAGATCTTGACATAAGGATCTGACGTCCCAGAAAAGTCCTTGGCGGGCAAATTGACAGCTTTGTGAATCTTCACTATGAGTTGCTCTAAGTCACAGTCATATTTTAAAATGAAGTTCAGCTTCCCACAGGCTTTGCTGTTACTCCTCTTCCCATCCTCATTATCCAATGACCTCTGCTTATATAACTCCGGTTTAATTCGACCAATTCCAGTCAACTGTTCCTGTTTTTGAAGCTGTTGGATATTGAAGTCTGGGTTTGACAGGTTGAGTTGTCTTCGGATTGAATTATGCCTTGAGTGAAGAGCAAGAGAGAACAAAGTTATAACCTCATTAGCTCCAGGTCTTTCAGAAACTTGTGCCTGGGATGTAGGTAGACTGACGAACACACTGTTAAGAGCTGAGACCTGTGGGCTTTTTTTTTTTTTTTTTGGCCTATATTCAAAATGCTCATCAATGCAAGTAAGCTGAAGCTCAAAGGCTTGAAGCTCAAAACTGAGGCCTGGCATCAGGAGATGAACTTACTTACATGCGACCTCGGAGCTTTAAAGGTTTAATGCACTTTCTAAACTGTCTAATATGCCATTAAAGAAGCTTATGCAGCTGGTGGGAGGTAAAGATTTGTACAAACTGGTTTAAAAAATAAAATGATTCGCCTTGATATACAGTATCATCCTGAAGCTGAAATAGCTAGGTATTATCTGAAAAAGAATGGATCTTCCTCTAAATTACACAGAATTTCCTGTCACTGGCTTTTAGCCTACTAAGGCTGCATATTCTTACTGGGTCAAATCAAATCATTTCATTACGAGAACACAGTTTTTGCTCTTCTGGAAATGTACGTCACAGGATGTGTCTGCTTGTAGGGGACTCTGTTGACTCTGACAGGTGCGAGTGCCAGCTCCGTGGCTGTGCTACTGCTGAACCACGTGGGTGATGAGTGATGAGAAGGAAGGGTTGTATTTCTTTAACAAACACTGAGGGTATAAAAGTTAAAGGTAAGCTCCTATAAATGTATATAGGGATTCAGTTAGAGAAGGCTGGAAACTGATATTTGCAAATTAAATATTTGCTATTCGAATATTTATATCCGAATCTACTCTTCACCCTATAAACTTATTGGTTTGGGTTAAAAGTTTCCCTGAAATTCTCTTTGCCTTACCTTGTGTGGGTCCTCACAAACTGAGAGAAGTAGTCATTACATACAAAGTTGTCTTGAAGGTTATTTTTGTTTGTTTTTAGCTCAGAGTTCAGAGCCATTATATTGTATTTTGTGCAGTCTCTCAATAACCTTAATTAAAATAGCCTCTCTCCACCAGAAGGTGAAAGGGAACAGTCAAGCTGTCTCTGAGGGGTTGGTAAATAGTTGAAGAGGCAGAGTAAAGATCAGAGTTTGTCTTCTTTTCCTTTCTTAAGACTACTTTATGAAATAAAGACATAAAAATGGGATTAATAGGCCCTGAAACGTGTTTGAAATTATTCTCCCTTGTCATACAGATGCTGTGATGCCAAACATTCCTCTTCATCCTAAAATACCCTCCTGACTACTAATCACCCACATGGTACAACAAGAGCGCAAGCACAGGGCTGTCACTTGAACCTGTCACAGCCAACACAGTCCACACCCAGACACACACATTCCCACATGTGCGAAAACTGTGTGGTGTGAATGTTTCTCTCGTGGGATTTAAATTTCTTACAGAGAAACCCACCATCTTAACTTTTCTCTGGATCTTCTGATTTTTCAGGGGGGAGGAAGAGACTCAGGGGAAGGCTGTTAGGCACCTACAACTGGTTCCCTGTACTAGTACAGCCAGGTCCGTCCCCTGCCTAGATGTTGAGCCTCTGTAGTGCTAGAATAGAGCTTTAATCCTGCTCTATTGGGATCTCTGGGCAGAAAGGTCTGGCAGGGAGCAGCAAGTATCCAGCCATATGCAGAGGCCGTAAGTGGCTGGTACCAGCTCCAGCTTCCCCTGCCGTTGATTTTTCTCTCCAGGCTGGATTCAAACAAGGGCCCTACTTGAGCCTGGAGTCAGTTCCCACCTACGATGGGCCATTCTGAGTGCTATCTAGTTAGTCAGTGGTGCAATTTAAATACTAAAAGTACACCTTCAAGACCAACTAGGTGTCTGGAAGCCAACTACCTCCACTGGATCTTAAGAAAGAGGACATTACTGCAATTCAACAAATTTGAATGTGTGAAGCAAGGGGTCAGGTAGGGTGGAAGAGACAGAGGGGCAAAGCCTCGTCACTGCTTTCAAGGAAGTGCCTTGCCAGGAGTAGACAGTCATACACTGACTATAAATCAGGGCAGAGGGGGATAAGAACTGACCGGAGGTTAGGGAGAGGGAGAGAGGAAGGCCTCTGGCTAGGGAAATTGTCACGGATGAGATAGCACTTGAGCCAAGCCTACCTACTTAACCTGGCCTCAGCCTCCCAGCTGATGCTCCAGACCTCAACAGGGAAATTAACTAAGTTTTCCTCTTGGCTCCCAGCTCTCCAGCAGGCTGGGACCTTCAGCTCTTCTGTCCCAGCAGCTTTCACCTCATACATGCCCATATCTTCCATTCCAGGCGGTATTAAGAACCAGAGCTCAGAACCTCCAGCATCCCTCCCATCGCTGGATTTCCCCTGCAACCATGGACAAGTGTACACTCTTCTACCCTCTCTCATCTCAGGGACCCCATCTCAGAGGGGAAACTTGGCCTGTCCCTTCCCTGGTTTGGGGCACCACTGTTTACAAGGCTTCAGGGGGTCCAAAGACAGGAAAGACAGAAGGACATTGTGACTTCAGAACCATGACGGGTTTCTTTACAAAGTTCGAGTCACGACAGGGAAATCTGGAAACAGGAGAAACAGGCCTTCTTGGAATCTTCCCTTGTGATGGAGAGGAGAGGGCTGGGTTGTTCTGAACCACCAACAGACAGAAGAAGTGGGAGTAGCAGATAGACACAGTTAACTGACTACAAGGGCAGGAGGAAATGGGAATCTGAGGCTTTCTTGGTTCTGGGATTCGGAGGCCTTGAGAGTGAGTGAGATAATGGAGATGCAGACATCAGGCCTTGGACGGTGGAGGTGTGGGGTTAAGTGCAGCTGGTTACACTGAAGCGTGTCCTGCTCCCACCCTCCCCCAAGTTAAAAAAGGCATGAAACCTTGGTGTCATCGTCAAATACTTTATCCCGTTACTAAAATGAGCCTATGTCCACCAACACTTTCTCTAAAGTAGCTCACATCTCATGCCTCTTTGCATTCCCACTGCTTCCAGTTGAGTTCAGGCCCTCACCATCACAGGTCTGAACTGGATCCCTATATCCAGTCTTCACCCCATCCCACGATTCTTATACAGTCTTGCCAGATTAATCTTCTAAAGAACAATCAGCACTTTAACATGTGTAACTGGTGCTCTTTTGTGTATTTCCCCTTTCAAGGCCAGGGCTATATCCTTTCTCCCTCTTTACTACCAGCACATAACACAGAACTTTGCACATAGCAAATGTTTAATACGTGTGTCTACAGTAAATATATAAATGCCATGGACATAATAGTTTCTGATCATTAAAGCTCAGTAGAGAAAATACACATTTACACCTGGTTTCAGGGTCTCATGGAAGCTGAGAGAGGTCTAGGCAACTTCCATTTTTGAAGCTGTCAGTTCATTAAAATCTGAAGAAATAACTAAAAGAGTAATTCAAAAAATTATGTTTTAAATGTTTACATCTAACCAACGCTCTCAACACATAAAAATATATAGCTTAATAAAACTGTGCTTCTCCTAGAGTAATTGCAGCACTTAATCCTAGTGGGCCACTTACTGGAGTTGCGGCCAGTAATGGGACTCAAATTTAGAAGACTCAAATTGTCTTCTTCTTTCAATTCTCTCAGAGTATTTCTGCGACTCTAAGGATTGTTTAATTCAGAGACAAGCTCAAAAGTCTAAATGTAAGGCTCTGAGGAATGTGAGAGCTGGGACAAGTGACCTTCCATCGGCTTCACACCATTACACGCTCTACTCAGTTTATACTTTTGCGCTTTGCCATTTTTGTCAGCAGAACATGAGGAAAGTGGCCTGATATTGACGAATGTACTCTTCAGTCATTCATGAAAAATTCCACTATGTGCCAGAGGCTGCACTAGGGGTTAGATATACAGGGAGAAGCAGAGCAGATATGGTCTTTGAACTCACAGAACTCATAGTCTAGAGCGGGGTATAGGCAATAAACAAACAATCGTAGAGTTAGAAATAGACTTTAATCCTGTGAAGAAGTGAAAGTAAGGCAACTTGTGGGAAAATAAAGAGTGGGAGGGAGTGGAGGAAAGAACACATACTTCAGATAGGGTGGTGAGGGAGACCTTTCTGAGGAGGTGACACTTTAGCAGGGACATTAAGGCTGCAAAGGAGCCTGGCATGGCGAAGGAAAAGGAAAAGCATTTCAGGCTGAGGGAACAGCATGTGTGAAGGTACCAAGGCAGGAAAAGTCAGGGATACTGAAGGAACCAAGAGAGAAGCTAGTGTAGATGGAATGTGATGAGCTTTTCCGAATAAGGCCTCTTAACTGAGTCCATGTTAACAGGGTCCTCTGGGTTTGTGCCACATGGTGGCCTGGCTGGGAGGTGAGGCCGATAGCTGACAGAAGCAGACTGTGGCAGTATTACACAGGCCTTAACAGACCTGATAAGGAGTTTGTGGCGTGGAAATTGAAATTTTTATAAAGCTAAAGTATTTTAAAGGAAATGTGAGAAGACTTAAAGAAAAAAAAAACAGATTGAACTTTCATTTTGGGACATGAATCAGGAAATGGATTAGATGGCCTTTCAAGGTTCCTTCTATTTTGAGGATCCAGGGATTTTCATGTATTTGGAGTCCTCTCATATATTTGGAGACCTCTAAAATGTTCTGGTATTGAAAAGTTCTAAAAAAAAAAAAAAAAAAAATCCACATTCCCAGGATATTAGGTCATTATACAAAAGGGATTTCATCCAAATTGAAAGGAATTAACAGGAATTTTGGAGGGTTCTAATAGTAACTGAGCTAACCAGAAACAGAATGCAAACATGCTTGATCTTGGAAGAACAAAAGAAAGTCATCCTGACCAGAAACATTCTTAGAAGATGGAGCAAAGCTCATCTTTAGGACATTCCAAAAGGCAGTGGTGGGAGCCACACATATCCAAGCTGAAGAGGCCAGATGACAGTGGGACTTCCGATGCAAACGCCACGGCTGAAGCTGTGCCAATCGCCATGACAGTGGGGAGGCCTTCACCGGGAGTCTAAGCTTTGTATGCTCTGGGCTGAGCAGGTGCCCAGGGAACTTTGGGACAAGTGATAACAGCTGCAGGAGGGAAGCAGTAAGAAAGAAAGTGACAGCAGTGAGAAAGTGAAGATCATAATGAGAAAGAAGGGAATAGAAATAATAACTAGCAGAGCAGACTGTTTAGAGCCATCTCAGCAAAGAGTACCCTCCCTTTCCCCAAATATGGTATGAAAAATGCTACTTAAAAAAGAATGTTAAAAATGTTCTGGAGCATCAAGGAAATTTCATTCATTTTACCCACTCTGTCAGTAAAAAGGCTTTGTGTGTGTGTGTGTGTGTGTTTACAGCACCACCCTAAAGAATTAGAAGACCACACCCTGCTTATTATGGAAAGACCATGAGTCAAAGACGTGTATTTCCAGACATAACCCATAAAACTAGGTCAGCAGTAATTTAGATAAGAATGTCTGAAATGCGAAATGATGCAAATTATCAGTATTAGGTCAAATGCAGCTGGAGAGAGTTTAGTTTTCTTATGGTAGTCAAATATTACCAAACTTGGTTTTGGCCATCAGAAGAGAAAATTTAATTGCACGACTCCAAAACTAGAATAAGTCTAAATGTAAAATGCATTTTACAGGGATAATTCCTTCCCTCTCTCATTTTAGTTTTCTTTTTCCTTCTACCCAGTTTCTACAAATCAGTGGTGAAGATAGCTACAGTTTTTAGCTTTATATGAAATCTGTTTTTTGATACGCAGGTTACTTATACATTTTCCTAGGATAAACACTGTAATAATTATAGTGGTATGATTGCCATCAATTCATTAGAATTATGGCAGAGTCCTCAGACCTATAATCTAATAAGAACACAGTACTATCACTCTGTCTTGATGGAACCCAGATCAGAAAAATGAACATGCAGAGTCAAACCAGATAGGAGACGATTTCAATGGAGACCCCATCTGAAGGCCCTCCTTACTGAAGTACTGAAAGGATTTTATCGTGAGTTTGCACCACTGCACAAACTCCACGGCAGCATCAGACAGAGCTCCAGTTATATTTAAGTCTTAAATCTGAAGAGAAATCCTGATGATAAAATCTGAGGATTTCTTCTAAATCAAATGGCAAACAACCATCCATTTCCTCACGGAGGAATATTTTAGGTAAAGCTCTCTAATTCAGAATTGGAAATGATGCTAAAATAGCTTTCTGAAAAAATTAAATTATAAACTGTCATATTCCATCCTACTTAATGTGAATGAGCAGAGCCTCTAGGATAAACTTGATTAACATAAAAAAGGGTAAAATCTTATTTCTGTTTCTAGAGAACAAATAAAAAAGATGTAAAAAAAAAAAAAAAAAAAAACCCAAACTGTGCTTGTACTTTCCAAATAACAGCATATGCTGTTCCCCCAGCTATCACTCAGGCAAATATTTTCATTTTAAAGAAAGCTGCCTTCTGGGTCTCTTTTCCTGAGGTCTCTTATTGAGAGTGAAGTTTTATATACAGTGATTCCGAACTGGCTGCTTAGCCTCAAAGCCACCTGTATGCATCTGAGTCTTGGGAGAGGCAGGTCTCGATGATGATGATGATGATGATGATGATGATAGCAGCACTGAAAACAAAATGGCAGCTCAGGGTGTGGAGCAGGTGCTAGATGCAGGCCTGGGCAAAGCACATGTGATGCACATGGTACCACCTCATTCTCAAAACCACCTATCACCGTTCCCCTCTCACAAGACGAAACAGAAACAGACGAAGGCTAAATAACGTGTCCAATATCATACTTGTAGGTAAAGCTAGTTTATTGGACCCCAGAGTCCTTGCTTTTTAATCACTGCACTGTATTATTTCTCTACTGAGCGAGAGCACAGAGCACCCAGCCCATGGAAAGACAGTGACAATGGGCCTGGGTACGCTGGAGACCTTGCAAAGCCTGGAGGTGGACGAAGACCCCCAGCCACTGTGTGGACTCTACGGAGAGCCTGTGTGTGACCGCTAGGCTAGGTCAGAGGCACGGAGAATCAACTCCATAGCACTACGAGAGCAGCACGGAAGAGTGGGTAAAAACTTGGGCTCTGGTGTTGTTTGAACCGGGGTTCAAACCCTGACCTGGGTGCTTACCAATATATGACTTTGTTTCTTAATCTCCCTGACTTAAGTTTCTTCTTCTGTGAGACGAAAACGATAATAAGATCCATCTCACGCAAAGTTGTGAGGGATAATAAAATAATACACATGAAGCGCTTAGACAGTCCTTGACATGGTAAGCCTTAGCAATGCTAACTATTGCTGTTATGAACTAAGTACAGACTAAGCAGCGCTCAGGAACCTCACAGGAATATAGGAAGCATCAAGCTTTCCCATATTCATGTCTCTGATACCTAATGGACACGTGACAGGTTACAGGCTCCTCGGCTAGTCAATGCTACTGCTGCCAAGAGAAGGGAACAGGGTGGTGCTCGCCCTGCATCCAGAAAGGAAGGGGGCATTACTGACCGAGCTGATGAGGCTGTTGGCTCTGTGACTTGGCGCTGTACGCGGACGCCATGGGCACAGTTCTCCCGGTCCCCTGTCTGGGTCGCGAGGGGAATGTCAGGGGAGGTGTGGCTGATCTTCATGGAGGAGTCTGGACAAGGGGTGGGAGGGTCTAGGAAGCCCTCGCTGTTCTCCTGCTCGTTGGTCTCTGTGTCCATGTAGTTAAGAGGCTCCTGGTTGTTGTCTTTGCTACCAGAGAACAGGCCTCGTTCTCGCCACGGAACCCAGCAGAGTTTCCAAGACACGAAGAGAGACACGCCAAAGAGGGCGAGGCCACAGGCGGTGACCACAAGGGTCAGCAGGCTCACTGAGATATCTGCAAAGAAGCAAAGATCAAAGGTCAGTGGGATTGCTCCTCCCGTGCCCACCCACTGCACGGTGCGGGCAGAAAGACCCTCTCACCCACGCATCCGTCAGGAGTGATGGCAGAAGGCCAGGCTGGGCGTGCTGCTGGGCCTCCCGACTCTGAGGCAGGGGCAGTGAGGACGCAGGGGCAACGAGGACGCAGGGGCAATGAGGACGCAGGGGCAATGAGGACGCAGGGGCAATGAGGACGCAGGGGCAGTGAGGACTCGGGTACGAGCGCAGAGGATGGAACACGCAGCCATGTTTAGAAACAAACAGCCTGCAATAGCAAGAGACAGGGTGCGTTCAGGGGACCAGGAATGCCCTGCAAGTCAACTGAGACCCGGGCCCTCGGCAATGCAAATCATTGATATTCCGGGAGCAGGATAGCTTCAACTGTGCTTAAAAATTCCTCTGTCATATGGGGACATATGTATATGTATAACTGATTCACTTTGTTATAAAGCAGAAACTAACACACCATTCTAAAGCAATTATAACCCAATAAAGATGTTAAAAAAATTCCTCTGTTATCTCAGAGAGCAGTATAATATAAATTTGGGAATTGTTTAAGTAACATATTTTTTTTTTGCGATACGCGGGCCTCTCACTGTTGTGGCCTCTTCCATTGCGGAGCACAGGCTCCGGACGCGCAGGCTCAGCGGCCACGGCTCACGGGCCCAGGCGCTCCGCGGCACGTGGGATCTTCCCGGACCGGGGCACGAACCCACGTCCCCCGCATCGGCAGGTGGACTCCCAACCAATGCGCCACCAGGGAAGCCCAAGTAACATCTTTTTAAAACAAGAGAAATCAGAGTGCTTTTTCCCCCCTCTTTTTGATAGGAACTTTCAACGGTCTAAGCAAAATGAAGCTCAAGTCCTCCCAAACCCTCAAGAATACCCACCACCTGGTGGTCAGGTGCCCAGGACCCGGGGACGATGGTCATAGTTTGGGTTTCCCCAGTAGCAGAACTGAGACAAGTATTCAAGGGCAAGAGGTTTATTTAGAAGGTGAAGAAAACACATGTAGGGAAGTAGGGAAGTGATCCAGGGGGGAGTGTAAGGGCAGTGATCCAGGGGAGTAAGAAAGCAGCCAGTAAGGGGGGCTTTATCAAGCCAGTTACCACAGTGGGAGACCAGAGGTTAAGCTGCTAGGGAGGTTCCACACGCTAGAGACCAGGGGACTGGGTTATTCATAACATCAACCCCTTCAGCCATTGATTTGAGGGCAACTCTCAAGGGGCATTTCTAACCTGCAGCATGGGTGGCAAAGTAAGTTTCTGTGGCCAGAAAATTCCCACATTTCAAATAAATGCAGGGCTGGCCTTGGAGGTCAGCAGGCACGTGCTCAAGTGTTAACGGAGTGGGGTTTTGGTGGGGGCAACAACATCTGCTATGTGGACCGCAGCCCCATGGCCTCAGCTAGGGTCCAAGGCAGCGCAGTGTCCGGTGGCTGTGCACCCAACTCTCAGAACAAAGCCCAACCCTCTTGAGGCTTCCACCACCCTACAGTAGAGCCAGGGAAGCTGAGGCATCGACCTGAACTCATTCCTGGCACTGTGGTGCTACAAACTCCTCCCTTTAAAGGACACCCCTAACTGCCCTTGCTGGGCTCCATTACATCCTAGAGCCCCAAGGATTCTCCCCAGGTTCTGCCTTTACTGTCCATCATTAATACTTGTATTACTTCAGCCAAAGTTTTCTGGCTGTCCATTCCATGCCAGGGACTGTGCCAGGCTTTGGAGACACGATGGAGAACGTGATAGACACACTCCTACCTTCACAGACTCATATTCTAGTGAAGGAGAAAATTAGGACTCAGGTACTTAATAGCCACAATTTCAACGATCCACAGCACACGACAATCCATGACATGAGGCAGGTTGCGTCTCTGCTGAGGCATATGCACGTGAACCCGTCCCGCAAGTCCCTTACCTACGGAGTCAAGCTGACCCCCTACTGTCCGTGTGCTTTTCAACATGACTCTGAAGGTACTTGACCATTCTTATGACATGATAAAACAATTTCTTCATGAGAAATTGCTCTTGACAGAAAGCCAGCTGCCAGGGCTGCTGATGGAGCTACCGTATCTCCTCTATGCCTCCCAATCCATCTTTGCCCTTGTGGCGAAACAATATTACGTTTCTGTTTGGAAACATGGGGGTTCCAGCTTCAGCATGGGTAACTGAGCTCCAAATCTTTGCTTATCTCATTTCTCTCCTTAAGTATCACTGAAATGGGATATGCAAGCTATGTGACTATGGAAAGCAAGTCCAGGTACCTTCTATCCATCGGTGAACGAGTAATGCGGAGGAGTTTCTGGGATTGTTTTAAAGGAAAAGCCGATCAGGGCTGAACACTTAACACAGGCAAATGAAGGGACACTGAGGGAAAAATAGAAATTAACAATCTCAAGTGCAGAGCAAAAAGGGCAGGGATGGGGGACAAGGAACAGAGTCAGTGGGGGCAAAGTACAGGGCCCCAGAAATCACACCTCATGGAGCCCCAACTTGAGGGGGAGGAGAGCACGGTTTGGCCACAGGCTCCACGTGGTTCTGAGAGCTCACAGAGCAGGATGGAAAATTTGTCGGTGAAAACTTCCATGACAGGCGGTAGTACTGGGGGCTCAGGGAAGCAGGAGGCCCCTCCCAGTTAATCAGGCTGCCACAGCAAACACCGGCCCCCACCTCCTCCAACGAGAGCGCCACAACACAGCGAAACCCCTTAATACGTTCCGTAATCCAAACAGAGGCAAAACCCCCTCCCTACATCCTGTTAATCACTTCAGCACTTTCCTGACACAGACACCACTAGGAGAATAGCATAGGCTGGAGGAGGCATACAGCAGAAGGCAGTAAGGTTCAGGAGTGTGACGCGATAATTACATATTATTATTTACCAAATATTCACTCTTCCACACCACAGTGCCCCCTCCAAGGAAGGAGCATGAATCCAAACCCCCTGACGTTGGTCTTGGCCACGTGACTTGCTCTGGTCAATGAAATATGAGTAGATGTGGCCCACGCCACCTTGGACCAGAGGACTCTTGGGCTCCCGCCTTCTGCTGTGAGAAGAAGAGGTCTTAAATAGGGCTGATCTTTCAGCCTGGGTGCCATAAAGGAAGACTTGTGGCATAGGCCCAAAGTCCAGAATGAGGAGCACACTTAAACCTGACACACGGACTGGGGCAGGGCAGAAACTGATCCACAGATCCATGAGCAAAACGTAAATAGTTGATGTTTTATTTAAGTCACTAGGGTCTCAAAGGCGGTTGTCACCATGGCAAAAAGCTGACTAATAAACATGACCATAAAATTTATTGTCCAAGACTAAGATACTTTTAAGAGGGAAAAGAGGCGGTATCAACAATCACATCAACAAGAGACTTCACCCAGGACTGTCCAGGACTACGGGCACCCTGCATTTAGAATCCCACCTGAGCTGTGGACTCATCAGCTTGGTATAACGTGGCCTCTCAGGGTTTACTTGGTGTTGGCAACATGCTAAAAATAAGGTAAATCCTGGGCCCACTTCTGCTAGTAACCGTAGGGCCCTGACCCAGCTCAAGAACGATTCCAGCTTGTTCGCTGACTCCCAGCTCACACACCCAAAAAACGCCTTGCTCCCAAGTCCAGTCATGGGGGAGCCATGAGAGCAGGGGTCTGGTCTGAGCAGGCATTCAGTGTACATCTGATGCAGCCCACCAGAGGGCCCTGTGACCGCTTCTGTGTTTACTGTGAGTTAAGGCTGTGGCCTGTAAACTCCAGGAGCCGCTAGTCACATTCATAGTCATGATAAATGTTTGTACATAGAGTTACTACAGAAAATGTCTGGCAAATAGCAAGAAGGCCTTTTCCTCATTTACACAAAGGGGCCGTGTAGGTGAGCAGGGGGCCAGGGAGCACCTGCCAGGAGAAACCAACAGCGACCCACACAGCCACACCAACCACTAAGCGTAACAGTCGGAACTTCTGCTTGCAAACAGCTCAGGGTGCCCTCTACACACTCTATTTGTACTTTTCTCTTTTTTCAGAAAGAATTACTAGAAAGTGGCTTCAGAGTCACTAAGGCCACACATACCACCCACCTCAGACCCACAGCCTCAGGAAAGGGAGTGGGAGAATCCACTGAGAATCACAAAATAGCTTTATTTAGAAAAGGAGTTCTTGCTTAAGTTAGGTGGCAGGTACATGGCCAATTGTTTTATCACTGATCTTTAAACTACATGTATGCTATACATATATATATATGTGTGTGTATATTCTTTGGCATTTATGTATATTTTATAATAAAAATGGAAAAAACCCCAGCACATAGCGACATCAAAAAGTTATTATTCTAACTTTTTTCTGAAGAACAGAAAAGTGTAATTGGTCCTTCTGTCAAAGAGGCAAGAGAATAACCAGCTGGTGATTCGGGGATGAAAGGAGGCAAATGGTAACCCAGTTGTGATCCAGATTCCCAGAGGGGTTGCTGTTTGGGGGTGACAGTGCGTGAAACCGTACCCAGAGCTGCCATGGAGAACATCCCTCCAGGGAGGATGCGGAGTGGGGTGCCTGATCGTCAGAACCCTTTTCTGCTGGCTACTAGCCCTCACCACAGGACATGAGGTACTGCAGCACTGTCCCTGGACACCAGACACAAGACACCATGACACCCCTAGACCCAGCAGACACCCAGCTGGACACCTATGATTCCAAGGGGTCCCTGCAAGCCTGAAGACTTGCTCTGGAATGACCAATATTACTGCCCAAGGAGCACAAAGCTTGAGCGCCTACACTGCACAGGGACAGAGGAACAGTAGTTGCCCCGCTGAACTGTGAAGCAACAGGAGGAGTTTATAAACTGATGACGACAAAATCATAGGACAAATGGGCCAAATCAGCAACTTGAAAGAGGCTAACCAATCAAGCTGAGTCATCAGAACAAATGGCACGTGACATGAATTAATGCGAGAGGCAAATTAATGCC